TACTTACATACCTACATACCTACATATATATATATATATATATTTACACATAGTACATATATAGTGTGTATACATGTAAGTACACTGTTTCCAGTGTGTATACTTACATAGAGTGCATGAGTAGAGGTGCCAGATGTTGTGATGCGAAGCCAGGTCTGCCTTTCCAATGATGGAGAAGCCCGACCCTGATTGCTCCACTGTGCTGGTCGTGTGCAGGTTGTGCGGTCGGAGTCATTCACCATCACCTTGATCATTGTGTACATGTCTTGAGATCCCTCTGGCTATTTGCTCATTAAGCTTTGTTACTTACTCTACCACAAGAGCCTACACACTTCACAAAGAAGCGTGAGCAGCGCCATCATGACTGGCCACCGCCACCTCTGTGCCACACTGCGCCGTGGGACCCAGGCGAGATCCGATGCCAAAGCGCGTGGACGTTGACATGGTGGTTGACAGCAGGAGCCGTTTACGTATAAGTACTTGTAGGTCGCTCACATTGTATATTTCCCATATACCAGGACAGATCTTAGCCGCCTGCATCACCTTGCTCTGATCCAGGCAGAACTTCAAGATCATCAACTGGATCGATCCGACAGACAAGGTCGTCTTTTGACCTGGTTTCAAAGGTCTCTCCCGTGACATTCCGCGACCCCGGCAACCCTGTTGGAACCTGAAAACCGAGAAGAATCGGCTACCGAAAGGCAATCAAGAATAGCATGACTGTCATACTACCAACGGGTGGTAGTTTCAGATCATCCGAAACAAGCTCACGGCCTCGCGGGTGTGTTTTCACCTTTCCTTTGCATCGCTCCGAGATCTCGCGGCCAGCAAGGAAGACAAAAAGTGGCCGGGAGCCTGCTTCATGCATGGCCTGGGATTTTGGGGCGTAGGGCTCAGGGTTTAGGCTGTCGGAGTGTAGCCTTTAGGGTTCCTGCTGGTAGCTCCTTACTAGAAGCTGCAGGGTGCCGAAGAGTGCAGAATGTGTAAAGCCGCAGGGTTGTGCCGGTGAAAGCCTACGGCAGACCACCGCCGGCACCTCGGATTCTTCCAAGATACCGAAGCTGACAAAGCTTGTTGTGACCCCATTTATGACTAGCCATGAGGGTGGAGCATGCTGTCAGCTTTCCTGGCACCCTCCAACTGCACAAGGTCTTTCTCATCGCAGATGGCACTCTGGGGTTCCGACGACTTCAACTACTACGCAAGAAAAAGGCGGCCCTGTTGCTTTCTCTGTCTCGTGTCGAGCCTTGGGCTGTGAGGTGGACCGGCCGGTGGACGCGAAAGAGGATATACCCGCTTAACTACAAGAAGGAGCCCCGGTAATTGAAGAAGCTCGTTGATCAGAAGCCGCTACTCCACAGGATTTCTTCTCCGATGCCCTGAACACTACCATCTACAACTTACGGGTGTCTGGGACAGGGAGTGGATGAGCAGATCTTCCATCAGATTTTGAGGGGCTCTTGTTAAGGAATATCTCTTAAGTTACCATTATAGGGATCCATAGTAAACTATGTGGTTTCTATATTATGATAACTTGAATCAAAGTCCTCAGTAAGAGCCCTCTATGTGTTGCCTCTTGGCCAAGGTGACCCCATCTGCTGTGTACAGCATGGACGATGCCGGCAGCTTTGACAACTACGTTCTGCGAACGCCGCCTCAGGACGGGTAACTGGTCGCGCCAAGCCTTTCGATTGGCATACCGGTCAAACCCCGTGCTACTTCTTAATATTCCACCTTCAACCGGCATCTCAAGGCCTGGAAGAAGTCGAACCACTCTCATCTTTTCCAAGCCAAACATAATAGTAGTTCGTAGTAATAGCAACAGCATTGATTATAGAAATAGCTACAGCAAGGATAAAAAATATTGACCGAAGCAGTTTCGGAAGAGGAGCTCCGATCTGCGACCGGAGAGAAGATGCGGGAGGTGATGTACTGGTACATGAAGAACCCCGAGGTGCAGGGTTCGCGCTTCAACCCTAAACCCTAAACCCTAAACCCTATGAAGAACCCCGAGGTGTAGGGTTCGACCTCCGTCTGTCCGAGAGCGGCTCTACAGCCTGCAGCGGGCAGGCCCCAGAGGATCACCTAATCATATGGGAGTTTCCGAAAATTAGGGTACCTTATTTGGGGGTCCTTATAATAAGGATCCTACTATTTAGGGTACTATATTAGGGTCCCCTATTTTCGGAAACCCCCATATCTAACCAAAAAAGAGTAATAGTCATAGTAACTGTAGTTGTGACAACAAATGGTAATAATTACAGTGCGAATGATAGCAGTAATTTTCGTGCTAATTACAGTAGTCATAACAAGAGTTATGCTAACAACAGTGGGTCTTGGCTGCAACGATGCGCTGCTCGAAGCAGGGTTCTCGCACGAACCGGCCAGTACGCAAAAGGATCAGTCAGTAGATCGTGGGACACTGAGCTCAAGGGCCTGAAAGACTCCTCTATGACCCGTGCTCTCAACCGAATAAAGCTTCATTATTCTTTTTCCATGAGCATCCTTTCTGTGCATCCTCCGGGATGGACGGAGTGGCGATTTCACATGGGCTGCAGATGCACCGCAGTGCCTCGAAAGCATTAGTCAAGGCTCATACCTCGTTTTTTGTTCGTTTGGATGCTTGAGGGCCCGCACTTTTTTTTTTCCTAGCGTTGGCGGTCCCCGGCGGCCCTTGGTAACGTTGGCGGTAATATAGTGTATACACCTTCTGTTGCTATACTGTATGCCGCTAGAAAACATATGTAGTACAGCATACTACAACACGTGGCATATTTTCTTGTAGTTTATGATAATAGAAACTATATGCAGAA